ATTAAAATCAAAATAATTTTTTCAATCATTTTATTCAATTTTATTATTAAATCACTAATAGATAATTCATTTGTACCATATAGGTTATGTGATTTATAGTATACAATGCAAAAGAAAGTAAAAAAAATTATGAAAGAAAGAGAGCTTCCAAGTTAGAAAGAGGTGGCTGTTTAGAATGATTTCAAACCTTCGTATGTCTTAGAGGTCATGTGGGCATAATATATTCAATACATAATGTCTGGTTATTTTGTGCAAGAATCACACTCTGATGCACATATTATCTGCCTAAATAAATGACACATCATTTATTTTATAAAAAAGATTTATGGCAAATAACATGTTATTCAATTATTAAAAAGAAAGCTAGGTATATAGCCTTATCCTTTCAAACTCATTATTGCCTATGCATTTTCTTTTGAGCTAGGCTCATGACCCGTCCTTTTAAGCCCAGACGCATCTTACCTATTAGTTAAATAATTATTTTTTTATATTTTTATTTTATATTTTAGATTAAAATTATCTTTATTTATTAAAATGGTATTTAAACAATTTTCAATTATATAATAGCTTTCACAAACATTATAGCTTTGTATGATAATATTAATAATTATTTTATAATTAATTATATTTTAACCTGCTTGATTTTTTTAAAACTTTGCTAGTTGATATTTAATAAAAATAAAATATGTATTTGATAATTTTTTATATTTATTATTTTTATATTTATTCTTATAAGTAAATAAAAATCATAGCTTTATGATTTTTTTTTTAATATTGTATTGAAACTTATTTTCACAGTCATAACAAGTTTTTATTTTAAAAACAATCTTTTTAATTAAAAAACATGTTTTCATTAAAAAAAGAACAAATACAAGAATTAGGAAATTGAGTTTTTACATTAATTTTTATTCAATAAATTATGCTGCAAATAAAAATATTAATAATTATTTTATAATTAATTATATTTTAACCTAATTGATTTTTTAACTTTACTTGTTGATATTCAATAAAAATAAAATATCTATTTGATAATTTTTTTATATTTATTATTCTCATATTTATTCTTACAAGTACATAAAAATCATCATCGCTTTAAGATTTGTTTTTTAAAATATTTTATAGAAACTTATTTTCACAATCTTAACAAGTTTTTATTTTAAAAACAATCCTTTTAATAAAAAAAAATATTTTCATAAAAAAAAGAACAAATACATGAATAAGGAAATTGAGTTTTTGCATTAGTTTTTATTCAATAAATTATGCTGCTAATAAAAAGAATAAGAGAATAAGAGAATATAATTTTTTTTAAAAATATTTTTCTCCGAATCGTTATCTTTCCATGAAAATCTCTTTTAATTTTTGTTTAATTAAATAAAATCATAATTTAAAAATTACTCCATAGCTAGGCGCTAATATATATTAAATATTTTTAATTGTTGTCTCGTGTAACCTTTAATTTCTTTAAATGAAGGAATTTATAACTTACAAATTCTATTAAAAAAAATTTCTTAGTTAAGAGTTAAAAGATACCAATTTTTTTATTCTTACTTATATATTTTAACATTTTCTTTACGTACAATAAAAACCGAACTATTTAAATAGAATTGCTTGTAAAAACATATAACCAAGTTAAAAGTTAAATAGAGTTTTGAATAAAATATATATTTATATACTTTCTTATTATTTGTTTTATATAAAAAATTTATTTGAATAAAAGAGTTTTTTCAAAAAATAATTCATATTTTTTCAAACCTTTTGAAAAAAAAACCTTTAATCAAATGTTGAAATAATATGGGTGTCGATACTAGCTTATCTATATTTTGATTAATTTTACAAGCTTTAAAATTAATAATTTTATAAATATTTAGTAATTTTAAAAAAATTAAATTTATAATTATTAAACATTAAATTTAAAATATAACTAATTAAACTACCCTACCCCGTACCGTTACTGTTTTCTTTCCTTTGTAATGCTGCATTTGAATATTCATCCGAGATTCCTTTGTACCCATGTTGATGTTCAATAAAGAATGAAGCCCATGTTTTCTTGTTAATAATTTCATGCCTATGCTACACAAACTACGTAAACTTCATGCGTGCTGAAGCCCAATTTCTTACAACATTTATAAAAGAAATTCCTGAAAGGGCAAAGGCATGGTTATTAAACCATTTTAGAGATTCAATTATCTTTTACTTAAACCTGATTCAAATCACTTTTTTTTAATTATCTTAAATATTAATTCTATTAAACTTGGATTAACTTGTAATTTTATTGACTTGACCGGGTCAACTTAAAAAAATATATTTTTAATTTTTATTCAAAATAAAAAATTAAAAAAAAACAAAAAAAAAACTAAAACTATTCAGCTTTTCACTGTAGTAATCCACGTTGAAAGGCTGAGCTGTTTTTTTTAAGCTGTTTTTTTAAATAATTTTTCTTTATTTTTTTTCTTTTTTATGCCTTTAGCTTCTTTTTTTTTTAATAATTTTTTTTAATTTAATTTAAGCTATTTTTTTTTATTTTTTTTTTATGCCTTTAGCTTTTTTCTTCCTTTCTTTGTTTTTTTCTTTTAATAAATTTTATTTTATTTTATTTAGTTTGTTAATATTAATATTTTTTTAATTTAGTTATTAGATTTTTATGACATTGATCCCGGATTTAATAGGTTAACTTGGTTTTACAAGTTAACCCGGATTTTTTTTCTTTTTAATTAATTTTTTTTGTTTATTTTAGTTTGTTAATGTTAAATTTCTTTCTATTTAGTTATCAGACTTTTATGACACATATTTTAGGTTTCACAGGGTTAACTTGGTTTCACGGGTTAACTCAATTAATTTTGAATTACCCATTCATTTTTTTTGTTTTTTGATTTTGTTAATGTTAAATATTTTTTTTATTTAGTTATCATACTTTCATAATAAGGACCCCAGGTTAATCTGGTATGACGAGTTAACCCGGAGCTTTTTTTTTTAATTAATTTTTTTCGTTTACTTTAGTTTGTTAATGTTAAATTTCTTTCTATTTAGTTATCAGACTTTCATGACACATATTCCAGGTTTGACGGGTTAACCTAGTTTTACGGGTTAACCTGGTTTTACGGGTTAATCTAGTTAATTCTGGGTTAACTCGTCTATTTTTATTTTTATTTTTTTCTTTTGTTAATGTTAAATTTTTTTATTTAGTTATCAAACTTTTATGACATGAATCCCGGGTTTAACAGGTTAACCTGGTTCCACAAGTTAACCTAAAGTTTTTTTTATTAATTTTTTTTGTTTAATTTAGTTTGTTAATGTTAAATTTCTTTCTATTTAATTATCAGATTTTCATGACGCATATCTCAAATTTGACTGGTTAACTTGGTTTCGCGGGTTAACTGAGTTAATTCTTGGTTAACCCATCAACTTTTTTTTTCTTCTATTTAGTTATCAAACTTTCATGACATGAATTCCAAGTTTGATGGGTTAACCTAGTTTGAAGGGTTAACCCAATTAATTCATATTTTTTTTCTTTTTCTTTATTAATTTTTTTTCTTAATGTTGGTTTTTTTCTTTGTTTTTTTTTAATTAATCTATTTAATTATCATATTTTTATGACACGATCTTACAGCCAGACTCATATCCACGGCTCTTGGATTTGGTGTTGCAATCAGACTCATTTAAACTTGAGTCATGTAAGTTTAATATTATTATTAATATTACAATATTACTCTTGAGTCAAGCGTTGCAGTTAAACCCAAGGTTTTTGGGTATATCTTTGTAGAAAGACCTAACACTCTTAGATCTTAGCCTTTTTTATATTTTTTATGCAAGAAAAAAAATTAACCCATGGGTATGCTTTTGTTTTTTTTCCTTTTTAAGGCTTTTATTCCATAGTAAAAAAGCTGATGCCTTTAGTTTTTTTCTAGCTTTTCCTTTTCTTTTCTTTTTATTTTTTTAATTTACTTTTTTAATAATAAATTTTTTCTATTTAATTATCAAACTTTTATGACACGGATCCCGGGTTTGACGAGTTAGCCCAGTTAATTCTAGTGTAACCTGTCAATTTTTTTTTTCTATTTAGTTATCAAACTTTCACGACATAAATCTAATGTTTAACGAGTTAACCTAGTTTGAAGAGTTAATCCAATTAATTCATATTTTTTTCTTTTTCTTCATTAGTTATTTTTTTCATGTTGGTTTTTTTTCTATATTTTTTTCTTTTTACTTAATTTATTTAATTATCATATTTTTATGATACAACTTTGCAGCCACACTCACATCCAAGATTATTAGGTCTGGTGTTGCAACCAAATCCACTTAAACTTGGGTCATGAAAATTTAATATTATTATTAATATTATAAATATTACTCTTGGGTTAGATATTACAGTCAAACCCATAACTCTTGGGTATAATTTTACTGAAAAATCTAATATTTTTAAATTTTATTTTTTAAAAATATTTTTAAATAAAATTTATCTAGAAAATTAATAACCGGATCCATGAAGGGGTTAAAGATCTCGTTTCAGTTGGGCCTAATCTCTTATAACCAAAGCATGCAAAAGGATATTGAATTCCACCAACTATACAAATAACGAGATGATTTTAGATTCTAATTCATCATATTTTTAATTTTATATATTTTATATTTATTTTTATCATATAATTAAGCTAACTTTTGTTTGAATAAAAATGACAAAAATAATTTTTTTAAACGAATTTATAATTATTGCAAGGGAAAAAAAAGAAAGAAGCTCTCATTCTCTCTCTCTTCTAAAAAAGAAAAAGGTATGAAACTTTTATATAAAAAAAGCATTGTTTTTGTTTTTAAACTATACAAAATTATTAAAGCTAATTTTTTTTGGAATTTATTATAATATTAAACTATAATTATTGAATCAATTAATGAAAAGGTGGTAAAAAATATTGAATAAGATGCAAGGGAATACGTGTCAAGAAAGCTAAGTTTACACAAAAGAGAGCATGTCAAATTTGGCAGCCACACATGCCAGTCCGCTTCGATGTGGATTCCGTTTTGACCCAAAACCCGCCAAGCCAACACTCAACAGCAGTCAACACGTCACGCAATCCACGCATTAATTCTGTTGGTTTCAATTTCAACATTCCATTTTCCTTCTCATTTTCCCGGAAAATCAAATTCCAAACATTAACCAACCAAATTCGAAATTCTTAATTCTTTCGATCTTCAATAATAAAAACAATAATATAGGAATCCCGATGGACGTCTATCTAATCGCCGATACATTGACAATAGCTACACAACAAACCCTAGGGTCTGCAAACTCGCTTCTTCTCCATCGCCAAAATTGCATCAGCCTCGCAGATCAATCCTCCCAAATCTGCGCCGTCGTCGTTGATGCCTTGGCTCCGCCGCCTGTCAAGTCCAAAACCTCACGCCGCACTCTCCTCCGAAAGCGGCGGAGGACCAGGCGGAGATCGCAAACTGACGGAGACTCCGGTGGTTTCGGAGAGGAGTATGGGTTTTTTTGCGGTGGTGATGGTCTTCTTGGTGGCGGCGGGGGCGGGGGCGGGGGCGGTTTTGGTGGTGGGGGGAGGGGGTGGAATTTTGATAAATTCGGAGGGCACGATTGGGATGAACCTTCTTGGTGGTTTTCTTCGCGGTCTTCGGGTTTCGCTTATGGGTTTGTTTATGAGGTGATATATTGGATTGCGCTGTCGAATTGCGTGCATTTTGCCTTTAAGAAGGTTGTTAGGATCGTGGCTGATGGAATTGGTGATACCGAGAGAGGGAAAGCGGTGCCTATGAGATTGGCTACCGTGTGCTAATTCGGTAACTGATATTTCTGAATCCATGAATTGAAGTGTATAATAGAACTTAGTGGCTTATGTTCTCTTCTACAATGCAATGTACATATATTGTATATAATTGTTCTCATTTTTTATATGAATCAGTGTATGATTTAGTTGTATGCGTATGACCTGCCTTTGATGATTTGATAATGAGTGATAACATGCTGCGTGATTTATTTGAGGAATGTTATGGAGTATTAGTTAGAGAACTGGGAGTTCATGATTGTGGAGTGGGTATTTAGAGAATTCGCTATGGTTATATTCTTCACATCTTCTGGTTTTGGATAGCCTTTTGTGGCTATTTTCTTTTCGACAGTGCAATGTACATGCATTGCATATAATTGTTCTCTTTGTTTATATAAATCAATATATGATTTGGTTGTATGCGTATGACCTGCCTTTGATGATTTGAAAATTAGTGATAACATGCTGCATGGTTTATTTCAGGAATGTTATGGAGTATTGTTTAGAGAACTGAGAGTTCATGATTGTGTAGTGGGTATTTAGAGAATTCTCTATGGTTATATTCTTCACATCATCTGGTTTTCGATAGCCTTAGTGGCTATTTTCTTTTCTACTGTGCAATGCACATGTATTGTATATAATTGTTCTCATTGTTTATATGAATTAGTTTATGATTTGTTTATATGTGTATGACATGCCTTTGATGATTTGATAATGAGTGATAACATGCTGCATTATTTATTTGAGGAATGTTATGGAGTTTTAGTTAGAGAACTGGGAATTCATGATTGTGGAGTGGATATTTAGAGAATTCTCTATGGTTATATTCTTCACATCGTCTGGTTTTCAATAGCCTTAGTGGCTATTTTCTTTTCTACAGTGCAATGCACATGTATTGTGTATAATTGTTCTCTTTGTTTATATGAATCAATATATGATTTGGTTGTATGTGTATGACCTGCTTTTAATGATTTGAAAATTAGTTATAACATGCTGCATGATTTATTTCAGGAATGTTATGGAGTATTAGTTAGAGAACTGGGAGTTCATGATTGTGTAGTGGGTATTTAGAGAGTTCTCTATGGTTATATATTTCACATCTTCTTGTTTTTGATAGCCTTTGTGGCTATTTTCTTTTCCACAGTGTAATGTAATGTAGAAGATGTTTTTGATAGCCTTTGTGGCTATTTTCTTTTCCACAGTGTAATGTAATGTAGAAGATGTTTTTGATAGCCTTTGTGGCTATTTTCTTTTCCACAGTGTAATGTAATGTAGAAGATGTTTTTGATAGCCTTTGTGGCTATTTTCTTTTCCACAGTGTAATGTAATGTACCTGCATTCTATATATTTGTTCTTTGTTTATATGAATTAGTTTATGTTTTGATAATTGTTCTCATTGTTTATATGAATTGGTGTATAATATGGTTCTATGATTATGACCTGCCTTTGATTATTTGATAATGAGTGATAACATGCTGCATGATTTATTTGAGTAACGTAATGGAGTTCTAGTTAGTGATTAGAGAAAATTGGAAGTTTGTGATTATGCGAATGTAAAAGTGGGTGTTAGTGAATTTTTCATTTTTATATTTTTCATATCCTCCGGTTATTGATAGCCTTTTAGATGACATAGTGATGCGGGACAATAAATGGTTATTGATAGCCTTTTAGATGACATAGTGATGCGGGACAATAAACAATAAGAATTAAAGCAAGAAAAAAAAAGAAGCTTTTATAGAAGAAGCTGAGAAGTGAAAGCAAAGAAAGAGAAGAATGAGGATTAAAGATATGTAAAGTCTATAAATTTTTTATTAATCATTAAAACTCAACATTTAAAAAAGTAGGGTATAAATACTAAAACCCTAATTAGAGCAAGCGATTGGACTTATGGCCCATTAAATAAAATACCCAACAATAATTAAATCAAACCCAACAAATAAAGTCAAATTAATAAATCTTAACTAAAAGTTCATATAAATTAAACCTAAAAACATAAGTTAAAGTCCAATCTCTCAATTGTTTGGGATATCCCCCATCGTCTATGATCATATATGTATGTAAATAATATTTCGGGTTCGGTGTTCCCACTAATTCTTCTAGGGTTGAAAAAACTTGACACTGTCTAGTATATGTCAAGGCGATTCCGATAACGCTCTTAAAGATGAGAATCAAGTTGTTGTGATATTTCTCTGATAATCCAAGTATAGTCTGAATCTGGTCGTTAAGCCCATATACTGAGATTTGTTGAAATTTACCATCCTTGGTAAGAACAACTTGTGCTTTCAAAATAGCATTAATATGTTTCTTTTGTGCCAAAGATATGGATAATGAGGCAAGCGTTTCAAAAGGAGCATCAAGAATAGGTTGTTGTGTTTTATATATGATAAGGTCTTTCATGTCTAAAGTAGAGTTAATATCAAAGTTTAATAACAATTTAATGATATAATTATTTGATTTAATCATTTGCAACACTTTGAATGGTCTAGCACTACTTGCAATTTATGATTGGTCTTCAAAGGATATCGTTTAGGTCTAATCTGTATCATGAAATAATCTCAAACATTAAGTGCATCATGATACGTAAGTAAATTAGCTCGAAATTTGTATTGTTCATTACTTGCTTAAATTTGTTTCATGATCTTAATATGCAAATTATGAACCTTACATGGTAACGACTTGGCTGACTTAGACATCCTATCGTGAGGAGATATGAGAAGGTGTTCTATAGGCTTCTCAGGTTTGTAACTATGAACACTAAATGATTGGAGGTATGAAATGAGACAAACATTGTTGAAACTTGTGTAGATATGGTATGGATACAATGAAGTAAACTAGGATTATCTTTATCTTCTGCATCGCGTGCATGTGGTAAGGGGTCAAAAAAACTCAACATGTTGCTCTAAACTTATGATATGCTAGACACCAAGCATGTGGAGTGAGGAATCAGGTAATTTAGGAGGACTAATATCATAAGACTCTTCTAAGACCATACCTATTTTATAGGCGATTTCACTGAAGAGTTCCCTAAAGCTTACTCTATTATTAAAGTAAACATATCAGACTCTTTTTAACCTCATTCTTAAGCTCATGTGGACTCATTGTGTTAGGTCCCTTTTCTTGCACGTCCTCGTTATCTTTGTCACTAAAATCCTCAAGATTAGGCTCATACACTTAAACACTACAATATTCATCTTTATCTATATCCTTATATTTTTTGATGGCTAAGGGTTTAGAGGTGCAATTTACAGAGATATGATCAAAACCTAGACAATTAATACACTTAACCCTTAAACTCATCTTAGACACTTCATTGACAACTTGTTTGTCCTTATCTTTCTTACAAAGTTGGGGGCTACTAGGATTAGGTCTATGAGGTGGAGCATCTAACAAAGAATCACTGCTTCTGAATTGGGACCTAGTAGGGATACTATAAGAGTTGTAACGATTCATCCATTGATTTTTCGTGACCAACTTGTAGTCTTGAACTAAGGTATAAGCTTGGTTAAAGGTAGATATAACTTGAAATACAATTTCTTTTCTAAGATCATCATTTAAGCCTTTACAATATTTATGCAAAGTCATGACTTCATTCTCTATTATATCACATCTAATCATGTAATTGTTAAACTGCGTTATATGCTCATTAATAGACTTATTTCCTTGTCTTATATTGTTCTATTGGTCTAAGAGTTTATTTCTAAAAGACGGGTAGGTACTTCTCCTGAAATTTTTGTTTCATTTTGATCTAATCAGTTATAGAAGGTTTACCTCTCATTTCTAAACAATCCTCAACATTTCTCCAATAATTTTTTGCTTCGCCAATAAGCATCATCTTAACAAATTAAACTTTCCTATTATCAAACAAGTTATGCCAGTCAAAGAATTTATCTATATCACAAATCCACATATCCAATATTCAAGAGTTATGACGATCGTCAAAAGTGGGGGCTTCTATTTTGTTAGGACTCAAGACTCGCTCATCAAAGTCATCGTGTTTAGAGTAATTTAAATGATAGTCATATTAGAGGCGTTTAGAGTGAACTTGTCCTTAATGATTATTCTTATGATATTTATTAGTCTTGAGTGCCTTATTTGAAAACTATCATGGGATTCAATTCTTTTAAACATATTGATCATCTAAGTTTACAGTTCCCTTTAAATGGTCATAAGAGTATCACTAAGGGTTGAGTCTATAATAAATTTAAACTTGAGCTTGGACATTAAATGATCATGACATAAATGCATGTAAAACTTACTTATAAATGGAATTGAGATCATAAATAATTCTTGTAAATAAAATCACAATACAAAACTAAAGCTATTTTTTTTTTTTTATAAATGTGGAGATTAATCAAGAACAAATTCCACTAATAAAATTGTAAGCATGTAATGCTAGATTTTTAAGTATAAATAATTAATCAAACATGATATCACAGTCTAAAACTCATAATTATCAAATAGAATAAGATATTAGTTATCAATAATGAATGAGGTTGACGACAAAAAATTAACAATTAAAAATGCAAGGTGAGATTATTTTTATTTTATTGCACAAAAGTAATATTAATGATAATTTCGAATACCAAGTGCAATACTAAAGAGGTAAAATCAACAAATCAAAAGGTAGAGTAATTTACAGACCAAGATTTAACTGTGGAATTGATCAGGGATGGACCTAAGATTATGTGGTAGCTAATGTGGCAATAGGCTATGACATGGTGATGCCTGCTGATATGGCGGGCAATGGCTTAACTAATTGGACTAATGTGGCTTCGGACTGATGACGTGGTGAATGACGTGGATCTAAAGAGTTGGTGTGGCGGATTACCTAGCAAGGTTAATTAATTTCGCCTTTGATGTCTTCTGTACTTCAATCTCTTCCTTTGTCTTCTATGATTTTTTATTGTTGTTGATGGTGACGGGGCGTGATTGTTGAAAGTGAGGACAATTGCAGTCTATTGAAGGTTGTGGTTTTTGCCAGTTGGTTCTACTGTTTTTTTTATTGCTAATAGTTGAGGGTGATGACACTGTGGATGGTGGCAGTTGAAGATCTGTTGCGTTGCCTTTACTGCGGTGAGTCACTTGTCGGTGTTGGCTGTGATGGGTGGGTGACTGCGTTTGGTAGTCTGTGATGCTGAAGCCGGAGATCAACTAATGTCTCTTGTAGTGTAAATCTGGTGGTTTTTCTAGTCTGTGTCAGAGGTAGTAAATTGGCGTGGAATGGTGGGTTGATGTACAAGTTTTCTCAGTGGTGGGTCTGCTGCTGTGATTGATTGAGGCGCCACTAATGAAAAATCGTTGTTGTAGATGATGAATAATGTTCCTTTTTCTTTTTTCAATCAGAATAGTAGGATGTTTTTTTTAGATCAAACCAGATATAGGGTTAAACATAAACATATAGACCATTTAATTGTAAGAATAATTAAAACCCTAGATCTAATAACAAATTTGATGCGGGATAATAAATATTAAAAATTTAAGCAAGAAAAGAAAGAAGTTTTTAGAGAAGAAGTTGAGAAGTGAAAGTAAAGAAAGAGAAGAATGGAGATTGAAGATATACAAAATCTGTAAATTTTCATTAATTATCAAAACTCTTTAAAATTTAGAAAAATAAGGTATAAATACTAAAACTCTAACTAGAGTAAGCGATTAGGCTTATAGCCTACTAAATAAAATATCTAACAATAATTAAATCAAACCTAACAAATAAAATCAAATTAATAATTCTCAACTAAAAGTTTATATAAATTAAATTGAAAAACATAAGTTAAAACTCAATCTTTTAATTGTTTGGGCTATTTTCTATCGTTTATGATTATACATATACGTAAATAATATTTCAGATTTGGTGTCCCCATCACATAGTGATGGAAATAACGTATTTCGTACTTTCTGTCTATTTGTTGCATCATCCATAGCTAGTGGTGTTTTTATCTTATATGCAATTATAGTTTGTTCCTTGGAGGCAAGGGCAAGATCACTTCTTTTTTATGTAATAACATGCTGCATGATTTATTTAAGCAATGTAATGGAGTGCTAGTTAGTGATTAGAGAAAATTGGAAGTTCGTGATTGTGTGCACGTAAAAGTGGGTGTTGGAGAATTCTTCATGGTTATATTTTTCATATCCTCTGGTTATTGATAGCCTTTCGGATGACATAGTGATGGAAATAATGTAGTCACGTATTTTATGTTTATTTGTTGCATCATCCTTGGCTAGTGTTGTTTCTATCCTATCTGCAATTACGGTTTGTTCCTTCAAGGTACGGGCAGGATCACTTTTTTTTTTCTAGATTAGCTATTTGATGTTGGCTGCGGTGAACG